GTAGCCCACAGCTCTGATTTACAAGCATACGTAAATTTTGTTAGTCCTGTGTTGAATTTGAAGGTCACTGATGTGCGTTTGTGGCGGCATGCGTGCACAATCGGTGGACCAGTGAGAGCGACGCTTTCGACACCGCCCTGCCAGACCACGCAGCGCTTTGTGTTGGCAGTCGAAGCGTCGAGCTCGCTCTAAGTGCCACCGGCGGTAACCCTTGCAGCCGAAATCGATTGCACGGGAGTGGGGAAATGGGGGTGCCTTGAATCTCCATCCATCTCGGATGATGGACTAGTAAATGCTGACTTTGCAAAATAAAATAAGTTGGATGAGCTTTCCATTATCTGTCTAACCAAATTTTGAAACCCGTTCTCCATAGGCGACCCGTTGTGACAGGACCTATTGATCCGTTATAAGCGCATGAGTTTGGGGTAAGTCTCCATTTCAGCAAAGGGAGGAGGATATGTCGGCCTTGAGGGAGAGTGAATGACATTGAGGGCCTCACGCATAACTAAGCATGAATGTTTACGGTAATAGCTACTTTTTTAAGGTGCTATTTGAAAGGTATTCACACTACCACCATTTTGTGTTTTAATGTGGTGCTTTCATGTATGTGTAGGAATAGCTTGGCAAGAGTTAATCGTGGGAATGTCATTACGCTAATGAGCGCAACAGTAATTTCAATGGACTTTTTCCTAACACTTACAAGTAAATAAGACTAGGTGACCTCTGAAGGACCTATAGCATAGGGTCACGGTTGGTTGGTTGCTTGCTTGTTACCTTGCGTACACGAGATTTTATGAAATACACAGCCATGTGCAAGCACCCTTCTTCTGCTTCTGCTTCTTGGGCCCATAAAGCGTAAAGTGCAAGTACAGGTGATTGAACAACAGCCCCGCATGCCATCCACGTATCCACCTAGCAGATGCCAATTTTATTACCTTCAAAGTGAAAAAAAAGACAAGCCGTAAATTGCTTAGGAGTGTTTCCAGCACTCATCATTGCAAATGCGGAGTGTCGAGCCACCTCGAGGCCTCGGATCTGGTGCCTTACCGTCAGCTATGCGGCGAGATACGAATTAAAAACCTGATGAAATAATTCAACAGTTTTTTTGAATTTAAAAGCACTCAACGATGGTGTGTAAAAGGCATTGAAGGTGCATAGGATTGGACTTTAAATGTTGACAAGTACCCATTTGGCTTGTTGCGTGTTGCTTTAAACTTCACCCATTTACGGAGGAGAATTCAGTTAATCAAGTGAATACGACGTGTTGTCTGCAAAACAAAACCATCTTCGAATGTAATTCATTTTTATCGGTTTTACTTTTGAATAACTGAATATACACATACGAAGACGCAGTTCCAGTGTGCAAATTCAATGATTGGGAGGCAATACATTTTAACCTGATGGCTTCACCAACCACTCTGAGGGAGAAAAGGTGTGCGGGTCCCTAAGAGGCCTGCTGGATTCGCATTACGACTGTCACCGTGTTACTGGTTAATATCAACGTTGTTAACAGGAGGACTTCAGTGCGATTGGCGAACGATTGGACAAGAGAGAGACCTAATGGAGGCATTCAGTGCCGTTAATCATCTGAATCTGTCAGCAGTAACAGTAAAAATAAAGTGAGTAATGACTGGGTGGGAATTTGGTTGTTTGCCAGCAAGTAAAACGCCCATGTCGGGTGTAACCCTAAGGATGAAATCGCACCACAGACCCAAACTCAAACAATTGAAACACAGTGCTACACTTTGGGTGTTAGTGAAGAGGGAAAACTACCTCCCACCCAACAGGTTTGTGTGTCGGGAGTGATTGACAAGATTACTGAACAGTAATTGAATAGGCTTTGATGCCCAAACCTTGTCATCGCAGCTTCAACAATAATTTTTTATTTTCTGGTCTACATGACTAATTCTAGTTGGACCTGTAGTTAATTGTTGAAGGGGGGGGGATGGAAATGAGCACTTGTAATCCCCTGCGAGTCATCGAATAACGCCGGTATTTAAAGCACGACGAATTAGTGTTGAAGGTCAAAGATCAATGGAAGAATTACTGCCTACGTATTAACTCAAACCTGGTGTCAAAGGCACCGAAGTCTTTTCAAATCAAAGCTAATGAGATCGGTTAGAATTTGGCTGCCTTTCATCTAACGGAAGGATACATTTATAATCAGCACCAGGAGAGCTATTTCCTGGCCAAGGTACATGTGAGGGAAAAACAGACGAACACAATGCTTTTGCTGTTGGGCTATTTTAGGCAACAAAGCCCACAAACCCAATGTACTTGTTGTTTTTTTTTCCATTGAAGTTGCAATTTACTCTGAGTTGATGCGCTGCAATATCCATTTTCAGGTTCGCTGTAGCTACCTCGTCCTTGTTTAACAAAAGGGATTCGCTGTGAAGGCGAACGGCGGACTTCAAAAAGACCGACGGCGTCAGTCTAAAAGTAGGCCTCCTAATTTTATGGAAGAGTGACTTTCAAATTTGGCACCTTTGCTTCTGGAGTCATGTGACTTGTGCAAGGGTGGAAATGTCGAGCGCAGGCGGGTGGGATGAGAGAAATACAAGGCAGGTTATTTTGAACGAGGCTTTCCTATCCACCTCACTATGTATTATGGGTGCGTTGACAAGGTAGAAGTTTGACAGCCACACAATGAATGTGACACACTGGTCATTCCTTATGGGCCGTCAAAACCTGCTTGGAATAGTGGTATCCTATCCTTGTAGCGGATAGTAGTGTCATTCGACCAAAGTCTCACCAGCCACAAAGTTCAAACGGGACAAATATAAAGGAAGTGTATTAATAGTAATTAAATAATTTAGTTGACGTCTAGCTAGGGTGGAAAAGATGTTCACTTAGGCAGATACTTAACGCTGATAGTAGAAAACTAAAACTGGATCGAACTTTTGGAGGGAATATGGGTAGTTTGATGCCACCTATGTCACCGAGTGACCGCCCCATGCTGCTCGCCTAACACGTCCACAACCGGGGTCCTAGAGGTGTTTTATTGTTCCAATACTACACAAACACTTGCACTACTGCTCAAAAAGCCAAGAAACATGATTATCGTTGAGGACAGGAACATGCTGCATGCTTCGTGCAATTGATAGATAATACGTCAAATACATGTGACGGTAGTAGCGACTGCGTTAACTAGCATATCCACATTTTGAGCAAATGACTACACCTGTCAGGATAAGGTGCAACACTAAGCTACTTATGATTGGGAGGGGGGCATCATGCTATACAAGTACAACACCAATCGCTTCGTCGGATCACAAGTCTCGTAAATGAAAATGCAAGCACTCAGTGAAGAAAATAACGGCCGGCATCAAGCACCTATTTACTACTGTCCTTATATCCACACATCGTGGTTTCTGCTATTATCCACATGACAGTGCTTTATTGTGTAAAGCTAATCACAATCGATGGTAAACCAAAACACCCGATTTATGAACTCGCAACGACATCACAAACGCATCAGCGGGTGTACAAGGATGCTATTCTAGGATTAAGGCACCTCGTTCAGTTTCCAGTGAATTCTTACATTGAGAGCTATGCAAATGAACGTGGCCGGGCAGAGAGGCTGGCGTGGAATAAAAACGACTTTAAAGTATCTGAGACCAGCATGCAAATGCACGTTGGCTGCCTGGGATTTAGTAAAAAAGGCACCGCAAACTGACTTGTCAACAACAAGCACATGAATGCACCAAGCAACCGAGAAGATTCATCAGTAATCAGAGTGACACTACACCTTCATCAACGGGACGCGTCTAAATACAATTTCGATAGTGATCGACTCACATATCTACATCTTGATTTTAATGAAAGCATTGCGGTGAAATCCAACCGCAAGCGAACCAGAAAAGCCCACTTGGATCTCACTCACACTGAGCGTCTGCCCTCTCTAGACAGACGACTACTTCCACCAGAGTCCATCCAACAGCAGACAAACCCTAGCACATATGGGGGCCCACTGTTTACACATGAGCGGGTACACAAGCATTTCGGCCAATAGATTTCAGCCAACCAATCAGCTGCCAAAAATACAGGATTCACGCTTTCGTCCGGCCCAAACAACCTACATGCAGGGATCGCGCGCGTGCACGCGTAGCCAAATTCCAAAGTTGGGCGTCCGCGTGTGCATGTGGGCAGGAGGGTAGGACAGCGTTAGTCATAAGCGCTTACGCCCACCAGTGTTCCAACATTCAACTCGCCCTACAACAAATCACTATTCCAATGCCCACCCCTCCAAACACCATCGGCGGCTGCGATGCGAGGGCATTAGTCATCCGCCATCGGCGGGTCGACATGACATTAAAGTGCCGCGCTTCCCCACCCTCACTACCGCTGGCATTGTAGGAACGCCGGCGACAGATACCTAGCCCTTTTTTCCCCGCGAATGCTAAATCGATTAAAGTCGCCCCTTGTGAGGGTCAGCATTCAGTATCAAAATGGTAATGCTGTTTGACCACAGCTCGCTGCAAAGGGATTTGCCTGTACGGTATATGTGAACGACTAGCAAAATAAGAATGCACGAGTGGTCAAGACCTATAAAACGAGGCGGTGGAAAAAGTGCGACCGGAAAGGATAAAAAAACCATAGAATTTTCTAAAATGCCCACGGAACTGAGGCGCAACGCCTTCGTGACTCGACATCAAGACCACGAGTATAGCAAGCGACCACGGCAGTCTTGATATAAAAACACACCAAACCAGAAGACTAGGCCCAAATCACGACTGAAATCCAACATCGAGACGATAATCCTCACAAAGAGGTGTTCACAGAGGCAACTGAAACCTGAGTTCCTATGAAGAAACAGTCATACACATTGATGCAAAACCAGCTTTCATCGCATTTGAGGATTTAAATTGCCAGGCGCTTTACAAAACTAAAAAATGCCCGAATCCATTTATTCGTAGGATTCATCAAAACAATTAAAAAGCGAAATGTAACGCTGATAGGGTAGGGAGGCGTGCTATCTTGGCAAATTGAACAAAGAGAACTTAATATCCGGAGTGGGAGAGGTGCTCGGCCATTGCATTACCAGCAGTAGCGAGAAGGCGATTAACGCCAGGGATATCTTTGGGCTTCGAGTTCCCCGTAATGATAACCATGGTTTTAAGCACTCGAACATCAACGGCATAGTCATTGCCGGTAGCAGAAAGCTCATTATCACCACACTTCACTGTGATGACTTTTTTGCCATTAACCGTGAAGGACTCGGCCTCTGTACCGGAAGCCACTTTAATCATCTTGAGAATCTCGGCTTGAGTGGGCTGAGTGGTGAAATTAATACACAGTATCACAACTTACCTTAAAGTCGGGAGAAGAGGCCCAGATGTTCCCATCAATGCCAGCAAGGCAGGCACAGGAAGCGCCATTGTACTTAAGAATGCTCTCAACAATTTCGTTCCAAGACATGGTTGTGGCTAAAAGAAAACTTATGTTTTTAAATGAGAAGATACAGCAACCGACTACACAATAGTATTGAATTCAAACGATTCACAGAGGACTAAACCTCAGTTGCGTGAACAGCGCCAATAGCACCCGAAATCAAGACACCTAGGTGTTTTATAATACAGATGCGCAAATACAACAGAGAAAATATGTAGAGATACTCAAACTAGACTACCAAACGCAGAAATTAAGAGCCTTACGAGAATCAAGACACGACTATATACTGGGCGAACGAAAACAGCGCGCCCGCAAATTGTTTGAACAGTTAGAACCGTATCAATTAAAACGACAGAATAGCTTAAATTATAATTGAACCACTTATCAATTAAAAATAATAGATTACATAATGCGCTTTGAAAATGTGCTGAATCAAACCCCGCTCAGCAAATTGTAGAGATCTTGAGTTTTTGTTAGGGGACAGAAGATTAAGGAAAAAATAATAAATTAGAAACGAAAAATCTATCATTGGCGTACATTTCACTTTGTCAGAGTCTTTGGTGTTTTTTGTTAGAACCTCTAAAACTAGATTTCGCTGCGCCTCTCCCCAAAAATAACCACTTTTAGAGAGAAAACACTGTTGTTAAAACCCTACAATTTCAGTAGAAAATGTCCTTTTTATTTAGTCTATCATATCTTTTTATACTGCAGCTCATAAAATTGATTATTGCTTTTGGTTCTTCAATAACCCGTTGCCTGTTTGGTAACACTCAATGTACAAGCATTTACAAAGCTTAACCTATCAGAAAATTCTTCCCAGAAATTAGGGATAAATAAAGTTGCAATAGCAATATGTTGCATTTTCATAAGGCGCAATAGTTAGGATTCCAAAAAATCATAGGCACAATTTGGACGAAAAATTCACAAATCGTTTTATCGACAAGATTACGGGGACGTTGGCTATAGTGGAACAACACAAAGGGTCCATTCAGGTTAACTTGGTTAGGTGATTAAATATGTGGCTATTTTAAAGCATGTTGTTAATACTAAAACATTCTTTTGCAAAAATTTTATTTTCACGAGATTTTAAGAGGCCAAATATTATTCTGATACAGAATCTCTTTCTCGCGTATGGTTTGCATAATGCTATTGTGATGCATCAGTGTCGCTAGAGTCTTCTCCAAAGTTGTAACGATTATAGCAGTGTAGAGCCCCAAGACTTCTTTAAAGACAGAAAAAGGCAAATGCTTGGGCAGAATTTGTACTGTAAATTTACAGATGGACACAGAATGTCCACTGGCATGGACTAAAGAGCAGGCGCCAGGAGGATGTATAATGAGGGAGGCCTAAGTAACCCGATATAAAAACCCACATTTAAAAAAACGTGTAAAGTGTTATCGTGACATGACAAAATGTATTCCCCATAGGCGGAAGAGCTGAGAGGATATTGGCACAGTACAAAGACTGCGTCACCATCAAGAAATACAATCAGCTAAGACCCAGTATTCGGCGTAATCAAGCACATAGTTAAATACCACCTATATATTTCCCTCTCTCCAGTCAAAAATTATGTAATGTGTTGGTTACTTCAGCTCTCGGATTTTGGCAAAAGATGACTTTGTATCTTGCCCATTGTACCTCCGTTCGGTGAGCTGGACTCATGGCAATGAAATTAGCCCCAAAACTACATATATTCTGCCTGAGTATTATGCTTTTTTTACCCTAAGAGATTTCGAGATGCTACATTGGTGGTAGCGGAAGGCGAATCCAATCTTAAAGGTCATCAATTCTAATTTTTACTGCTCAGTGATAAATCTTGATAAGAAGGAAGGAGTGCACATGCTTCGGATAGTAGAATAACTAACAAATCATAGCAATAGAGCTTTGAATGACGTCTACCTTCAGTAACTGCCCCAGTTTCGTGTTCTACATGGGAGCTGTTATTAATGGTAGCTGCATTAGAGGTGAACTATAGAGTTTTTACTTGTACCAGCACAAAGATATCAATAAAGTGAACTCGCCATACCTCCTCCACCCGTCTACCTGCTGAATAGTGCCCAGATAGACATGACTGGTCAGCTCCAAATTGAGTACAATGTAGCAAGGAGAAACAGACGCGGAACCCTACCCCAAGGATCTGCGTTAAATCTCATTCTTATTGTACAAATCTGTTTTTAAGCCAGTGTTACAACGTCCAGCTATGGAAACCCGTATCGGTTATTACAATCACTCTTTTCCCAACCTAAAGAAACTTCAGATCCAATTAAACCGTCAAGAGGGATCAATGACGCTGTAGTCAAGTACCTCCTCAGCTGCATAGAAATTTGGTGACTGAAATGAGTGACTCATGATTATTTTTTAACGCTGTAATGACTGACAGAAGGTTGACTAAGGGGAGCAACAGGGACGGCGCTTAAAAGGGAGGAGAAGTGTGATACGTTAGTCGTCTAACTCCGGGGTTTGGTAAGGAGCCGCAGTATGTCCTATCCATTGAACATTTTCCGGATGGGCTGGCTTTTAGATCATGCCGGTAGTTCTAATACCTTCTGTACAACAAACATACATATTCTACCCGAGTATAATATACATTTTTTTCTTCGATGGAATTTCTGGGGTGCTACAATTACATTAACACAAAGTAAATTTTCCTCAGGTAATCTCTTTGTCTATCAAACCGTGGTTCTCTAAGATACCGTGTTTTACCAAATAGTAATATTTTAAAAAGGAGGGAATCGTAGAAATTCCACACACTTTAGCAAAATCAAACAAAAGTGCAATTACTAAAAAGTTACATAACACCTATAACATTACGTTTTGCAAAGTTTTATGCGTTTAATCAGATTTTGTGTAAATCATGAGTAAATATCTAGTGATTACGCAGGTTATAAAATTTTTAGCAAACATATAATTTTGAGTTAAATAAAATAGCTCAATAAATTTTAAAGGCTACGACTAAATAACTGTCACGCATATCCAAGGCTCAATTAGCAAATGAGTATGCAAAATGTTAATCTTTGCCCTTTGAAGGACATTTGGAGTGGGAATAAGTTGCGCATGGTATAAAAGTAACGAAAAACCCATAATTGTCGGCCCAATAATTTTATACGACGGCCTATTAAGAAGCGCCTAGACATGTATTCTGTGACAGCACAAGCAGATGTTCATGCCTTTTCGTGGTTTTTTAAGCAGGTTGTAAGAAGGCATTTCTTTACAAAGAAAAAAGTCCCCCAGGATGTTTCATTTCGTAGTGCAGATTTTGGAATTGCATTTGATGTTGATGGAGTTTTTACAAGAGGGCCTCTAGTTTTGCCCGGCGCTTTTCGTACCTCTGAGATGCTACATGAAAAAAATGGAAATTGGCGTGTGCCTGTTTTATTTCTCACAAACGCTGCTAATGTATCCAAGGAGACAAAGGCTGCCGAACTTTCAAGTATCTTAAATAGAAAGGTAAATGACTTGAGAGAATGCACTTTCAGATTTTACCATCAGAGATTGTAATGCCGCATTCAGCCTTGAGACTTTATTCAGTATTTGATAAGCATGTTGCTGTCTGTGGTCACGGTCCACTAAAAGCGATTGCACAAAGTATTGGATTTAAGAAGTTTTCTACGGTCGAGGATATCTCTGTTGCTTTTCCCTGGTTAGACGCTTGTAGACCAAAGGAAGTTCTGTATTCTGTAAGTTAAAATTACTTGAATATACACGCTGAAACACATGGTTAATCTCCTTCGTTTTAAATAAATAGCAATAATAGGTTAAAATTTGTCATTTTACTTAATTGTCTAACGAATTTTCTTGGCATTGCTTTATGCAGCTAATGCAGCAAGGCTAGTCAGAATAATGCATTTTTCCAATTGTCTTTCAAAGGGCAACATAAGGAAGGCAGAATTCAGCAAAATTGAAGGTAAAATTATTCAATCCCTATTTTATATCCTCCACTGCTTTCCTAGTCATTGCATTTCTATTAATGCTTGTGTGTTGATATCCCAGTTTAATTGCATGATGCATTAAATTTGTTGCCATTCTTCCCTAAGTTATTGATATTTATTTCTTTGTTAGCAATTGTCTTACTCGGGGAACCACAACGATGGGAACAGAGCCTTCAAATCATTCTTGATCTACTCATCCAAAATGGGGATCTGAACAAGACTTCTGAGGAGATCTTACGTAAGCCAATATAAGTTTAAAAGTGATATCTACCATGTCACCATAATCAAGCAGTTTTGTCACACTTTTCATCTCTCTCAAGGTTTTACGTTATCGCTTTGAAATGTGGACATTTTGATCCAAATTAAAGTAATTTAATACTTTCTAAACACCAAAGACAATTTTGTCACCAATTTGAAATTGCAAACGACGTCAAAACATTGGTTGTACGTTTTTTTCAATTTCATCGGCATACGGTTGAGATGTACTTTAAAACTTTACTAATGTACTTTCACCTCAATTAGTTTTAACCGTATTTTTCTATTTTGTAATTAAAAATCAAATTAGCCAAATCATCCTCTCCTCAGCTGCCAATCTTTGCCTGCGGAAGCGACCTTTTGTGGGCCAGCAATGCTCCCAATCCTCGAATTGCTATGGGGAGTTTTATGTGCTGTCTGGATACCCTCTACGAGAAGCTGACTGGCCGACATCTCACCTACACTAGTCTGTTAGGCAAGCCCAACCCTCTTGTTTACACCTTCGCCCTGTCTCAACTCAACGCCATCGCGGCAAAGCGATTTGGTGCCACCCGGCCCCTAAAACGCATCTATTGTATTGGGTGAGGTGTTGTACCATAAAGCAGTTGTATGAGGTCGCCTTCACGTCGTCTAGACTCGTAAACTCTATTGTCGGTTAGCACGTCAGATTTACACCCCACCACTTTAACACTTCACCTCTGTAAAACATGTCACCCCCATGAAGGCACTTCAAGTTTTAATTCACGGTATTTGGTGTAGGTTTAGGTACAATCATACCCTGAGTTGCTACAGTTGACAAAACATGACTAGCTAGAACCCAAATTTATTAAGTAAATCTGTTAACGAGACTGATTATGCGTTTTTATCTATAAGGATCAAGCCGAATTTTGCCACTGTATTAAAGATGTTAATGTTGCACGTTAGCATCTTGGCTTTGGAATAACTGGCGTACATGCTTTTATAGATAAAGGCATCACTGTAAGGCGGGCGCAAAACCTGGTTTATAGAATTAAGGCGTTACTCAAAGTACTGACGACTACTTTGGAATTGGGAGATGTTAATCAACCTCCGGATTATTTTGAACAATCCTAGTCCATGAGCGACTAGGTTTGGAAATCTTGCCAGATCATATCAGGGTGAGACTCCGATTCTGGTGCTCCTGGAAAACCCTTAAATTTCACTGATTGGATTAGCATTTAAGTAGTATGGAAGGTTGACCAGCATATGCTTAATGGTGCAGAGCCACTTCATGCCCCCGATTAAAGCCAAGTTGTGCAGAATAGAAATAAGTAAGGGCACAAGTGGATAGTAAAATAATTTTAGCTTAGATGCTGGGATTCAGCTTATTTGGCAACACTACTGCTTCGGAATCCATTCATGAAAAATAAATCAAATTTAGAATAAAATAATGACTTAAGGCAGCCCCGGATGCCTGTTTATAACATCGTCTAATTTCCTTTGTGTAGTGACAATCCTGAGGTGGACATTTATGGCGCCAACCTCTTCAACCTCTACCTTCAGACCATATCTGAGGAGACATGGAGTTCCTTATTTCTGCTAGTAAACACTTTGGTGCAAGAGGAGCATCCCTGTCTCTTTCCCGATCCCTCCACGACTATTTGCGAGCGACCGGAGATACTCAGCGAGAAGGAGCAGGACAAATGGAGTCATCTCATTCGACGCTCCAAAGACATGTTCGAGATACTCAGGGAATTAGTAATGCGGAAGCCCAAACGACCCTCTCCGTGCACTATGGAACCCGTCCTGGTAACCTCTGGTGTCTACCAGGTAACTTGTGTCCACGCTCTTTCTTTAGACGTTACAATATATACGAATCTAAAAATGATGCAGAGACCAGCTTCACAGCCCCATGTCACCAATGCTAAGACTAAATCGTAGTAGATTAGAGGAATTGTCGTCTACCACGAGCGTTGTTGAGTAGGCCACGAATGAGGATCATACGATGAGCATACATTGCCTCGAGAAGAATTCGCAACTCAATGATCGTTTGTAATCTGTAGATCTCAATTTGCAGCGTTCTGATTGTGAACGGGATTGAGATTGTCTTAGACACCGTTCCATCGCGTACAAATTCCGAATTTCCCAACTCCTCTGGCCCTCTGGTTTATTTGTAGTCTTTACAAAGTGGGCTGTATTGTGAACGGATGGTGGTAACGAATTGGCCTTGTCCAGATATGGTCTTACTTCATTAGGAGTAATTCCAGTGATTCTTCTGTTGTGGATCTTTGTCAAATGCCTTCATTCTCTGATGTTTTGGCATAGTGTTTAATCATTGATACCGGTAGTGTTGTTATCTTCCACTCACAGTATACCGCTCGATTTTACCTTGATAAAGTTCAAAGCTAATGGAGTCCGGAAGTACCCGAATTAATAAAACCATGAAAAGACTTGCAGGCTCGTGGCCAAAACACAGGGGGGGCGTAAAGTCCGCGTGGTAACACATAAAGCTGTGAGATAACGTTTTAAGATGTCTAAATTTTAGTCGTCTCACTGGACACGCCTCCTTGATTTTCGCTTGGCATAAAATGATTTAGGCTGCCTAGAAATGTGTTTGACTGCTGTTTTTTTGTCTAACTTTTCAGTAGAGGGAAATCATCTCTGCGTCTAGAGCAGGCCATTATGGGGTAGTAAAGAATAACTACCCAGTTTTATTAGCTCTAAGTAAATAACACTACCCCTTATGCACGCATGATTAATAAAATCCCAAATGACTTTAAGCAACTCTTGTTGATACAAGTTGTCGGCGTAAGGTCAATGAACCGGCGTGAAGCCCAAGTTACGTGAGACTTAAACTCGTTACATTACACAGACCAGTCGTCGTCATCTTGTCTTGAGCCGCCTTCACATCTGTCCTCGTGATCGGGTCTCCACTCAGGTCAGCATAGGTGATCAGATGAAACGTCTTCACTAGGGTGACTGAAATGAAGTTCATTAGATTAGAACTTCTTATTTCACCAGTGAGAGCGCCTGTTGTAAACTAAGATGAGGGGTCTGGACGTCAGATCGTCCACGAGAAGTGGGTACTACTTGCATATTCCCTATTCTAGTTACTTTTTGCGCGAAATTTCGACTGGAGTAGTACAAGGAGGCTCCAAATTAAGCCCTTAAGACGCTGTAAGACATACGACCTTAGGACTGGCTTCGTTCCCAGCGTGAATGAGGGATGGGAAACTGACCCATCTGATAGTCCATCCACTGATTTTTGAGGTACGAAAAAAGCAGCTGTGTCTCGATTACGTAAAGAAAGCGGAAAGTCTTTTCCTCAACGTAGCTATGGTGCTGTTTTACGTCCCAGTGACTCCCTAGAATGTAACAGGGCATACGGGCCTGAGAAATACTTTATTTTTCAGTGAAATCAGGCTTATTGTTCTTCTGGAGTGGGCTCGCTAACTCTAGGCCGAAGCATTGTAGAGGATATCCGTGAAGATGCAACTCAGAAGGCCTAGAGCTTCATGTCACCAGTCAAACAGCAGTGATATTGAAAGAGACATTGTGTGGCTGAACAATCATAATGTGTATCTCCATTAATAGGAGCATGAGGGAGTGCCGGGTGAATGGAAGGGTCTGCATCATGTACTCCACGATTTTCCAGACCTCTCCCACCTCTACGAGCCACGCTTCGTAGCTCCCAACGTGGCTGAAGCCGTTGCCTCCATCCTCTCCCTGGAAAGCGCCCTCGGCAGTTCACAGCTTACATCTATCCCCGCCTCCGCCAATGGGGACCTCAATTAGGCTGCTGATCTTTGCTATCACCGTAAGAATCCACAGAGAAAAGGCTTTCCACTTTATTCAATTGCTTCCATATTATTTTCTACCAAGTTCTTCCAGACGATTTCAGCTGCATTTTTCATTCTTTCGTGATTCACAGTGCATAATTAGAGTATTTCCTTGCCTGAGATTTGGTTCATACAGGTTTTTTACATTAAACAAGCCTTCTTTCTTATTTGGGAGGTTGTGTAAGGAGAACTTCCCTTTTCCTAATAGAACCAAGACGGGCAGATGTGACTTACCTGTGATCTGAAAGTGTTGACTGTTAGTGAAGCTTTTCAACATAGTGGAACATACCTCGGTGCCATTTCAGACGTACTTGCGGCTAGGAGTTTCTGACTGAAGCTCTACAGGCGAATGAGGCATTTTAATCATGGAATTTCCTTGACGGACTGCTACACTGCAACCACTGCATCTAAGATGTTTTCAATCTGCACTAACAGCAAACTCTGTAGCAATTACATAAACTGCAGTCAGGAAAGACGTGATCAGTAAGAGCGCCCTCATGGTTGAAAATTTTTTAGTGACTGATCCCGTGTCACTGATAGCAAACCATTCATAACTTTATTTTGGGCATCCAATTTGTCTTTCACATAAACAGTTTCCGAAAGTTTACTTATCAAAGTGACGATGATTTGCAATCCCATGGTTTTAAACGTCGGCGTCATTTATGTCATGCGGAATTGCTTGGTGGAACAGCACTTATTTATTCTAAAACAACCGACAAAATGGGGTTTTCTGCCTTAAAAAACGCATTCTTCCATTCTTTGGTTGATTATAAGATCCCGGGGTCACTTTGGAAGGAAGTGGATTTTACGGAGGCCTGACCGAAAATCCTGGGCCAATACAGTAACTCGACAGATGATCCCAGGACTGAATCACCACTATGCCGTTTTTAAACTCTCGAATTAAATATCCTCGTCTACTTTTCTTATTCATTAACATGCGAATTAATTTACACTAAGCTTTAGTGAATTTCTTTCTAATGTGTTCCTTTAATCTATCGTCTTAACAATGAGTCGTCTTCGGTCTCAAAGGAAGGCGGATGTAATGCAAATGTGATTAAAGTGACATTAGCTGACACAGGTTTCCACACCCCCAACCAAAAGTAACACACAAAGGGGAACCGCCTTATTTACCATGGAGAGTATTTACTTGACACTGATGTATTGCTGTAACGCTTGGAAATCGCCATGGAAGCCAAACTGTAGCAAAATCTGCTACAGAAAATCCTTTCATGCATGCAAATTACTTAAAAGCTAATCTTTATTCCTTTCGGAGCAGTTAGGCTACCCAAGTTGTCATGATATTAAACTTGGCAAAGTAGGTAGCTGTTTAAAATTAAGCTCTACTCCAAGAAAAAAAAACCCTCTGCTATCTCGTGACACTTGCTTATTACCCACTTACAAAAAGCCAAGCTTGTGTGACTATCTGTAGATTTATTGTGCGACGGTACACATAAATTATCACTCAAGGGACTAAGCGAACCAGGATTGTACTTTCTTGCTAACCTGGGCCCCATGCAAATCAGCATTTTACGCAGAATAGCATCCACCACTGCGGTGACTGCATCAATCGGACGAGCTAACATCGGCCACCAAAACGCATAACGCGACTCACACATGTGACCCTTCAGGAATTATTTAAGTATGTTTTGCACCGCCGATTCGGCAAGAAACCGGCGACTCCATCACGTAAAAGGTTTATTTGATTTACGTCAGTTCCGCGAGTCGTATTGCGAAGGTAAACTAAGAAGGGTCTTGGTTATGTGGAGGTCTATCAATGAGGTAGTTGCGAGGCAATCCACGCGTCCGTCACCATGTTATGTCACGGATCTAACTGAAATGGTTCTCCATGCAGAAAAATAATATGAAAAGGCCAGAAAACCATCGAGAAAAGGTGAATGTTCCAGCGTCAAAATGCAGTACTTTCCTCTTTTTACTACTTTCCGAAAAGTACATACTTCTACTGTCAGGTGAATAATAACATATGCACGTAGAGTCCGTGATACCTTTCACTTTCAAAACTCCCATGAAAACATATCCAAGTGAATTAAACAAGGTGTTATTGCATACATGTTAGTCTTTCCTGCTTCCTATGACATCCTACAAGCTGATGAGAAGGAGTCCCTCCCGTGTCACTCATGCTGCTAGCACCAAGTTCCCCAAGCATGTTGACAAACAAACGCCTCTCAAGCTCAAATGCTCCAGAATGCCTTCAGGGGTAATTTGAGCGATAGAGTGCAGTAAGGGTGGACGTCTCGATAACCGTTAAACGTAAAGTTCCACAAGGGCAAATCGCAATTACTTACCTTAGTAGGCACCCGCGCCCTCCACGATCGGGTTTCTTGAGGAGAAAAAGGACGACTGAAGTACGTCAAGTGCCTGCCTTACAATTTTCTGGGTCTAATTAATTATTTCACCCAGACCACATTATCAGGATTGATTCGTTTAATTTGAAATGACCAACCTTGTGTGAAGATCAGTAATTCAGGTGGTAGCACACTTACCCTGGACGCAAATCGCTGTAAAACTATGCAAAAGTTGCGGAAAAGTTTGTGAACTTCAATACGGAAATTTCACTCCTCTCGCACTTTATAGGAATTTTTTCCCACTTGGCGCTTGAAAGGAGAGTCAAATTTCCACTATCCAAATTTGAAACGTTAGACCGATTGCACGAGCGTAGATCGGAAATACAAAACAGAAAGTAGTCTTGGGAAACTTTATTGCTTTAGTAAGGATACGATAATAACATTCGATAGAGCTTATTTTCCAAAACAGACATCAAGCTGTCGTGGGATGACTTCCGGTTTAACCAGACGGAGCACACACCATTCTGCCAGTCCTTCCGTAGGTCGACAGATAAGCCCCATCCAAACTCAAACGCCCTACAACATCTACGGAACTGACTTAGGCACTACGGAGTAAATAGGAGACTGTTTTGTTGATGATAATGCAGTGATTAGTGGCTAGAATGGCTATCCAGGAACACCATGAATGCATCAGTCGAATGAAGGATATCAATGACAGGTTAAAACAGGTCGACTTAGACAAGTAACGCCAGTGATTTTTAACCGCTTCGATTCCCGTATGACAGTGCGATATAAACACACCAATTCCTTGATTTGTGCCAGTTCCACAGGCTCTGGTAAAAAGGAGGACTAAAACGGCCACCCTTGTGCAAAGGTCCAGACTCCGATGATCAACCTGACTGCAAAATCACTAAGAAGAAATTCGTTCAAAAGTGTATGCGATGCAGTACTGAAAGTTTGTGATTTCCTCTCCATTTTTTTCCAGCATAAATTTCAAAATTCCCAAAAAAAAACCATTCTAAACACCATAATTTCAAAGTGCTAGTCAGATCGACTTACTGTAATGACAACTTAAAATACATGTCATTTCCAGGTGTAGCCTTTCGGATTATCCCGGAAAGCGCCATAGAAATTAGCAGGTATCCACTTGTCTTCAAAAAGGTCGTGTGTCAAATATATTTGGTGTAAACCAAGTGGACCCTTTTAACCGCCCGCGATTCACCCCGCACCACAATTTACTAAACTTCCAGCCCTCTTTCCAAATCCAGCGCCAGTTTTTGCATTCATATATCGCAAAATGCTAAGATGGTGGAAAGTAATGGATTACCACATTGGATACCTACGCCTGCCTCGATCGTGTCCATGGGAGACTAGTGACAGCGAAAAGTATGAAAAAAACGAAACCTAAGCGTGTTGAATTATTTCACACAAACCCTTTAAAGTGAAATGATTCATGTGATTTGTGTGTCAGTTTCGCGGACCAGGCGCATAGGCGAATCGGCCACTGATGGCTGTCAGTAAATAAGCCGGCAGCACCTTTGATTCTGGGTGCCTGGATAACTTTTCAGCTTAAATTTCAAGGCCCTCTTTGTCTACTCTAGATGCGATTTTGACCAAGGTGAATAGGACTGTACAGCACTGACACAACGTCATCGACGAATTTCTCAATTTGCTCCACCAAATTAGAGGCAACACTTCCAAAGCGTGAGTCAAAGTTACGGTCCCCTCTGCTGATACCAACGTTCCCTACAAAACAGCATCTTGGTGAGTATAAAAAGCGGACTGTACTAATATTCGGAAATCAGCTTATCCGATCAACTGCCAAGTAGGACTGACCACTTCGTTAATGAGGGAGCGCGATCCTGTAAGTAGGTAAACACTAAGTTATCGCCAAATTATCACCTAAATTAAACTACACAAAATCCCCTGTGGGTAATTGTGAATTAGTTAGGGAAACTTGGGAAAACCAGGTTTACTTTTCGTGGATAGAATTATACTTGCCACATATACGAATGGAATGTATCCCAGAGAAAACTTGAGTCCCCTAACACATAAGCGATGAGAAGGGACAAATGCAAAGATACAAGGTGCAACCACCTTATTGAGAACAGTTGGGACATGTGTACACCATAATTTTTTGGTCGCCGCCGACAGAAAGCAAATGAGAGCCATCATCGTTGTAGCGCACAGCCCAGACCTAGAAACAAAAGACAAAAAGGGCATTGCACCTCGTCCTTAATTTTTGGGAAAAAAGATTTTTGGGACCGAGTAGTGGTACTGCAGTGCTTTGCGGCGTACGCAACCGAGTGCGCAGTAAACAAACCTGATCCTCGTGGTCGGAGAAGACGTGCTCCTCGGTCTTTGCGGCGACGTCCCACACCCGGACAGTCTTGTCGGTGGATGCGGTGGCTAGGTGGCGGTTGTCCGGACTAAAAACTGCCGAAACCACCCAGGAGGAATGGCCGTTCAAGCTCGATACCACCAGGCGTCCATCGTTTCTGAAAAGGAGTCGTTCCGGAATTTACCACCGTGACGCTAGTCGTTTATAATGTTGTCATTATCCCTGAAAGATCTCTTCTGGATTCAATGTAAATCGGGTAAATATACTTTTGACTGCCCGCACGTCCAGCGATTAACATTTTTACGAAAGAAATCAAAAACAGCACTGTTTCAAAGCCTCAATTCCGGAATAAATATTTTATCTAACAAAACCCCTGATTCGTAAACATCCCATTTAGCAAAAAAAAAAATTGGCGTCGGCTTCATTGTGGAGTCATAAAATCACTTGAAAGAGACCATAAAAAGTTAATCAACACTTTTTCGATGAAGGCCGTAAGCAACACCCTTTAGGGTTTCCAATTCTAGAGCAGATATTTTAAGATGTAAAATTTTCTACTCTATCAAACGAGAATTATTTCATAATCAAAAAGGTTTTTCTTTTACAGTCACTTGAAAGGCTGCTTTGTAGTGAGGATAAAACGCGTTCAGTGGGAGTCATCCTACCTCCTGGATAGACTCAAACCTAAGATGAATACCTCTAGCCGTCAATAATCTCCTAATCGTCAAAATATGCTTCAAAGTTGAGTTGGCAGGGTTCCCACCCCAACTAGTAGTGTGCACTCTATTAAGAAAAGCAAAAAAATATCAGGGCGGTTGTTCTGTAAATCAGACAAAAATTGAACCACCTTTTGGTATGACTTAAAAATTCCAAAAATTTATTGAACCCGAAATCTATGCTGCAATAAAATGCAGGCTGCCAGAATTTATAATGAATAATGCTTTGTATTCCCGAGTTTATTGAAACCACTTCAGGCCAGACATTCGAAAAATCCCCATCAAATTGGTCTAAAAATAATAACGTAATTCCTATTTCCCAGACTACAATTGACCTTTTAGGAAGGTAGAAGTTGTCTTGGTGTAACAGCCTCAAAATGCCTCCAGAACACCGCCTTTCCTCCCTTCACCAGCTAAATTGGCTATGGACACAAAAACAGGAAAGAGGCAAGGGGAAATAAGGTTGTTCATAGATGAAGGCAGCGTGCGCCCGCAGTGATTACGGAAGGGGAGGAGGACTAGACAAGCCACTCTCCGTTCTTGTCATGCCGGGGCTGTCACGTGTCGCTGACGCAAAGTGGTGCAACATCACGAGGTGGATAGAAATGCATGGTGAAAAGACGAACCAAATCGTGCACAGTCAACACACCTCCCTCGAGAGCAACTCGGATCCACACTCTCCGTTGTTTACTCACTTCGAATCTTCAAGTACAAAGAGCAAATAGGTGCACCTCTCACCGATACATTTCGGTTTTATGGTAAGATGATAGCTGATTTAAATACCGATTTTAGCACTCGAGTACCTCCTATTCTCTGGCGATTTGGTGGTATTGAAATTCGACACCTCCATTCGATATTGTTATAATAAAGCGAATTGCAGTCTTGCATATTGTTTAACGGCTTTAGAGATGATTGGAAACGACATTGGTGAAGCCTCTTCGCTTTTGTCTTGCGTTTGCGGTAGTCGATGCGCAGGAGTAATCCCAGGGAGCACCAGAGGCAAGGCTCAAAAGAAGACGAGGATTTTGCATTGGGTGGCTGAAAAAGTTCCTGTGATTTTCGGTATGAAGTATAGATATGCGTTGGTGGCCCCGTACACTACTTCCTTATTTGATCACTCATCCCACAAAATGCCGCCTGAATCTGTTGAATGTGATCGGAGTCTGTCTACTTTACTAACGATGTTAAACACGCTTTCAGGAGCTATCTCGTCCAATTTGTTGTGTAGCATTTAAAAGTGGAGTAGGAGAATATATTACCCCAAAGTAACTCAAATAAATAATTTACTTTGGGTGATGAATTATTCAAAGGTAGATGCATCACAAAGGCAAAAAAAACCCTCCATTCGTTGATCTCAAGGAAATCCACGTCGCTATTGCTAGACTAATTCGAGGTTAAAATGGCTAAACAAGCCTTCAGTAATGTTTATCGTAAGTAATGGAATGATTCATTTACATCCACATCAAAATGAAAAAGAAGTGGAAGGTAGGGAAATGGACCTACCGTCCACCAACAGATTAAAATAAGCATAAAAGATTAGCAGGAATGTGTTCTCCAATTGCTTCAAGCATGTCATGAAAACGCTTCGTGCATATTAGAATGCCCATTGACTACTCGACTTGTAATGTTAAATGCCTTTGGCACACCAAAATGATGATTCAATGTGCTGCATTTCTGGGCACCACTTAATCTTCAGAAGACAACGCTTTGGGAGTGGTGGACCGCAAATGGAATTGGCCACTGCAGATGTCTTACTAAAGAAAGTTAAACTCTTCCGGGATCATTCAAAACCTCATACTTCACACTACAAAACTTATTTGCGAAAAGATTTTCCCATTGCCATAATGATGCTTCTCCAAATGCTTATCGTCACGTGTTTCGGTATTAGCGCCAGAAGGCCACACTAACATAGGCGAAAGAGAAGAGATAGGTGGAAAATAAAGGCGAAACAGAAATGGAGACAGCTGGAGTCTGGTTGATTGACCTACAGACAAAATGAATTTTATAAAAGTGAAGTTCGCCAATTCGTATCCCACTGTAAGGGGGTTAAAAATTGTAATGATGGCATGGACTCCTCCTAGTGGAGTGCTGGTTCTGCTGTACCAGGATCTTCCTGAGGAGTGATATCCTTTTGAACAAGTAGTCGATTTGAGAAGTCCAGCCAGTTCCTTTCAAGGACACGGTTTGAATTAATTAATCATTGACAGACATTAAAATTCGAAGCAAGAAGTATACCTTGTCTGGTTCAATTAATTAATCAAATACTCCGAATTCAATTACAAATCGGATAGCATTAACCGGTCGTTTCGAATGTTCACTATTTAAATACTATGATCAAAAAATGACATCGGAGGTCGTTTCTTAAAGCCTGATTTGCTAAATTATTCATTCCGCACTCATACTTTCGCCTAGTAATATACGCTCACCAAATCCTTTCGAGCTTCGAATCATAAACATAAAGTAGTTTTCGTGAAACGCTCTCACGTCTTGCAAAACACTTTCCCTCTCGAGATCAATTAACGATAACTGAGACAAAATAACTAGGCGGAAAGAGGCGGTGGGACTACATCGTGACAGATTGTTGATTGCTTGAATCGTACACGATATTTTGCGTGTAAGCCTTGCGTGAGCACTACCCTACTGTCCATGTTCTTGGCCTTCCAGCTACTTTATGCCACTGCGATAACGCCATTCACCTACCCAATCCCGGAGCTGCAATTCTGAGAGTAATTAATACACACTCCAGTTTACATTATTGTTAGACCGATCAGAAAAAGGACCAAAATACAACGTAAAGGTAGTCAAGGCCATTGTCACAAGTGGAGAGTTGTTCAAAAAACAAGACAGACAATAAGAATTACAAAATGGAGAAAAAGCGGCCTCTTGTCACGTGATTACGGCCCAAGTGAAGGGCGTTTTGACCACAACACGACAAAAATCCTGTTCGTGTGGAAGGCATCACCTCGTGATTACAGAACCGTTTATTGCCCAAACACTGGTGGCCAAGGACTGCGTGTAATTTGAGTGAGCGAATTGTCCAATAAAACGGCAGTCGCGAGCATACGAGCAAACAGATTTATAGATAATGCAAGGTCATAAAAATGCTCTTTAAAAATTAACGAAGAGGGAAGGAAAACCTGGAAAATATAGTTTTAATTATAAACATTGAATTTTGGACAGAAGGAGGATTGACGAAAAGTGTAAATCTGATAGGTGGTTCAGCAAACCGCACATAAACAAGGTAACGGTTAAATAGCTGTAAAAATTATCGCTTCGCACCGTAGCATACGATTCCATCAGACATGAGCATATGCCAGTTGGTGCTTTAGCCTCTACCATGTGAGACCTTAAACCTATGACCATATGAAAGTGCACTTTTGCATGTCACTGTCATGCCAGAACAGAAGAGCGGCAAGATTCGTGGTAGTCCATATATAATTGACTACAAAGTTCCATGATTCAAAGACGTCTGGCACCAAGGCAACAGCTGATGGGCAAGAGCAAATAACGGGAGCCCTGATTGCTACAATTTCATATTACCACGTTCTCTACCGGCTTACCGTATGTGTACATACTTTTACGATTATATTTCGAGAGACTAGATAAGAGTCAATAAACGAGGATGAACTGAAATGTTAATGACAGGAAGGGACTTGACCTTGCACAAGACTGCATAATTATTGGTCTTTACCTGTATGATTAAAATGAAATCGACAATTAGGAAGAGTGAAAGAGGATCAAAGAAGGAATCCCAGGTATCACGCGTAAATAGATGCCAATGCGTAAACAGTTGTTTGCCATCAACATAAAGACAAGAACAAAAATACGCTTTACTTCAGCAGTGGAAAGAGATAGCTGAAATTCAAGACCATTAAATCTATGCCGGCCGACAGCAGCCGCAGTCAAGCCCAAAAAATAAAAGAAAGAATGAAATGACATTTCTCTGCATAAAACACTTTCTTGTTTCCTACATTTGCCATAGTCAAGCCTTATCATTGTTAATGTCCTGTAAGTCAATCACAACACAAGTGGAAACCTTAAAGTCTATACAGGGTGCAGATACCGCTGCATTTAGAAGTTATGCGATTGTCGTTTCTGTTTCAATGGCGGTTCTGATACATCTAAACAGCGTTTTGCTGGTCGCTTCAAAAGAGTAACCATATGAAATTAAGGAAGGGAATGATATTCGTTTAAATTACATATACGATGACACCAACCCTTCCTACTTCGCATTATTCGGTTTGCGCACTAATGGAATGGAATATTGCCAATAGTCTTTTAAGTCTTCTATACGAAAATAAGATTTACTACCAGACATGCAAGGCATAATAACGCTTTCGGAGGTAGCCCAAACACTACGGAGGTCTTACAAACGTATCCCTAAACCCATGAAGCCAATCATATGAACGAGAAAACGAACGTAAAAGGTGGATAAGACGGATGATAATGGAAGTGAAAATAATAGGGCTTAGGTTCCTCTCTTCCAAGGCAAAAAAAATGCAGAGCAGAACGGAGGGAGCCAAAACTTACGCGTCATAGATGCGGACCTGCTTATCGTCAGCGGCGGAAGCAAGAAGACGGCCATCGGGTGAGAAGGCGACGGAGCGGACGGGCATGGCGTGGCCATCGAGGGGAAAGATGGCACCCGTGCGCAGGTCCACGATGCTCACGATTCCGCTGATTGCGCCTGCGGCCAATCGCGTCCCATCCTGACTCTGCAAGGTGATGACGAGGCAGGTGAAAGAGATTGGAATGTTAAACACACTCTTTCATTGTCTGAGTTACATCGAGTGAAACCTCTCGCACGCATATACAAATTAATGAATGCAGACTGACGGTAGGAGGAAAAGCAAAATGTGATCTCGTATCCTCTGGGTTACGATCACATTTGTTTTTCCAGCCCTGGTAGACAAAAACCGGTGAATGAATGCCACCAGTGCTGGCAAGGAGAGCCAGTTGATCATATACAGGCACGCTGTTCCTCAGCTGACATTTCGCAATTTTCAACAGTGAGCGATGCGCTCTTTTGAAGGGCTTAAAAATGAGCTAGGAAAAGTCATGACGTGGAGTACATGAAGGTAGCATGTAACGTGAAGCAATCGAAGGAGACTGAGTAAACACCTAAGAAACAAAAAGCAAGGCCTGCATTGAGCGATTGGAAGAGAGTCGAGGGCTTCTCGATAATAATTAATGACTTAGTTTAACAATCCAGTTGCGAATCAGCTACGTTACTGCACATCTCAGTCTCGAAATGAAAAGACTATAGTTCGTAAAAAGCAAGTCGATCAAAGCGGAGAAATACGGCAATCTGAACCAATTACAGCAAAGAACTAACATTTTCGTGGTAATGCAACGCTATTAATAGATACCTCTAGGAGTAAAGACAGTATATACGAAATAGAACCGGAATTCGAGATGAAAAGGTGGTGGTGAGATCGACTGAGCTCTCAAGCAAACTTTTTTACCTCATTCTTGTTTGATTAAATAAAGTCGACCAAACACACATGCACATCTGTGATATTCTTCGGACAGACTAAACTCCCCATTTCCGCTGAGGAACAAAAAATAAAGGTGTTCATGAGTGTCATCTGTTTTGGCGAAATCAACTGCTCGAACAGTCTTTTCTGCGGCAAACGCCTTTTCTAACTACGAACGATGCGCTCTTTGAAGGCTTTCAAGGCGGGTAGTAGGAATTGTTTTCAGACGCAATTACAAAGAGGGAAATAGGGTACCTCGAATCTCGAGGTATCTAAAGTATACAAAATGTGCAAATTTCATATCACTAGAGCGATCAAATAACGTGACCAAAGCGATAGAAATGTCAATGCCAGTAGGCAAAATAATGAAACTGAACTGCCGACTTTCCTATGCAATGAGTCTAAACCGTAATTCTAGTATCTGCAGCAAAGTTGACTACAATTGTAAAGATAGCTGGCTCATTCTTGGGAAAACCACCTGAGAACCCGAAGAGGTAATCTTGAGTGACTGTGAGCGGGAAAAGTATCACAGGGAGAGGAAGAGTACAGTTAACATTTGAATATTTATTGAATGGACAACTGCCAGAGAACACAGTCTAAAACATGTGTCCAATCAACGCCATTTAAGTCGTTTCAAAATAAAGCCATTACGTGTTTCCAAACTGTAATTGCAGATCAGACAGAGCCTAGGCAGAGAGGCAGGAGCTCATTCATATATTTCGGTGTGAAAGTCACGCATCGCCCTGGAGTAAAGAATGGAAATGTACTGAAAACTCATTTGCAAAGCACTACAGCTCGTGAAAGTCATGTTAACCCCGAAAAATGCTGCCACTATCAGAAACGTTATTAAGTACAGTGTTTTACCGAGGCTAGGAAGCACTACCCATGGTGCAAACAAACACATTGGAACGGCCCCAGAAAGGCAGTGATAGTGAGACCAACAAAAGGCTCAAGAATGAATATCTTTGGTTTGTCAAATCAGTGCTGCCTCATACACATACGTAGATATGCATAATGATTTGGCATTCTTAACTTTATCCATAGTTACGCAGGTTGTAGTTCCGCTTGACCCATTTCCGATGAGATATCAAAAGGATTGAAGGCGAAATAAGACCTTTCCCTAGTAAAAAGAAAATCTGGAATTTAATAATATCCGGTGGATCGAAACCACCATTAACACCATCACTCGGCTCCCATTACTTCCATTAAAAATAAGGTCATAATCCATGTCAAAAGGTTGGCAAACTCTGATAGATGTAGGTTGGTCATGGATGAGGTCTGCTACAGTCCAAAGAAAAGGCATGATTTATCATCCAACGTCAGAAAAACACTTTGACGCCTGGATACTTACTACGTCAGACCCAGATTCCAGTCCACTCAATGTATTGATCAAGTGGAACTTTCAAATTTGACAGGGAGCGGCAAGGGGCAACACCCGTACACCCAGATACAGCATTCCCGTATTTGTCGGGGAGGCGTGTGGCACAGTGAAGTTGACTTGGTAAAAACCTGATTAGTCGTGAAAATTGGGGGTTAGAGCAAAGGTAAACCGTTATGGAAACGTTGAAACCTTGCTCTGAACAGCCTTCCAATAAAGTAGACGCGAGAATTCGCTCTACGTGACAAGCAAACTGGACATGACCGCCAGAAGTCTTTTTATTTTTGACAAGAAAATGTCTATGCTAGTTAAGTATACGCACCTTTTATGGCCTTAAAAAACCTACCCCATAAACTTACCTCTGCTAAAATAATCAGCTGAATGCTTAATGTCAGATTGGTTAAAACACATAACGCTTTCTTCAAAGCACTTGCATCGAGGCGGAATTCCGGACAAAAAATGGTTTCACAGGACAACTTTTCAACATCCCTTTTGCGCGCCATTAACTGCAACTGACCGTATCGACCGGAAGTGCCGAAATGCCTTTAAAGTAGGAGGAACCGCGGTAAATCATATATCTGGTATTTAAAAGTTCTCTCGCCGAGGGGCCCCTAATAAGCCCGCTGGAACGTAAATAACGAAGGCGAATTCACAAGTACCGTAGGTGGAACTTGCAGCATCCGTGTGGAGACAGTGAGTGACGTAGGAAATGACTACGCGTCAAACATGACTTAATTCGATGTCAGTTAGGGTACTTGAAAAAAGGCGAAGTTTACCCATTCTGAAGATCGTGATTTGGTTATAAAACGCAAGATCGATTAAGAGATTAGAATGCTAAAACAATCTCTTCTAGTGATTAAAATTTAACTACAAATGCATAGCTTTAATGTGCCATTGAAAGCGGGAACAATGAACCCAAACTCCCCTATTACTGGCAACCCTGCTTATCGGGTGCCACACAGAAGAGCGTAACAACATATTAGACCCTGACAAACTTGCCGTCAAAGCATTTTTCGAACATAACCTGAAGGTAAAAAGGAAACGCCGTTGTTTTACACTAATAAACCAATCTCCGAAACTACTACTATGGATGAAGGGGTATGGAAAACGGGAGCAGTACTGCGGCACAATACATATAGCCTTAAGATCAAAAGAAGATTTACTTGATCGACTTTTGACTGCGACGCGGATTACTCGGTCTCAGTAAGTCAGTAGCCCCAATCGCTCAGGTCCAGAGCACCATCCGTTGTTCCACCCATTCAAATTTACATTTTAAAAGTAGACATAACGGTTCTTAGGTTCATCGCCTTAAAACAAACACATAAGGGCAGTGCTTGGGTCACAGCCTAAATTTCAAGCCTACCAGGTGGCACGATACCACATGGGAGGTTCCACCAATAAGTAAATAGTGTGAATAATTTCACAGCTCGGATAGTTTAGGGATTACCAAGTGCTAACGACAGGGCCTGTTTTACTTGGCTCAAAGATAGTGTTCAAAAGTTATACAGGTAAAACACTATTATCTTCAAATGTCCTGAGCTCAGTTTCTTTACAACTTTAGCAATTTTCAGCACTGAACTGAACAAGCCTCATCTCATCTTTTTCGTAAACCACTTCTTATTTATTGTTCCTTTTTTCAAATATCAAGCTAAATGACAATTCCTCACCCGCAAACTGTTTCAAAAACAAACAACGAAGCCGTCATGAATGAGCACATGGGGCAGTATCAGTAACAGCAGATTCTTCACGTGATAAGTATGACATAAAGTCATGAATATGTCGATTCTGCCACTTCGTTGGTCAAATTGGTCAAACAGGCAGCACAGTGTTTGTAAATAATCGTTTTGAGATGAGATTATGTCTCACTTATACTTAAATTCTATGTCAGTTAATGCCTGAATCAGAAACATGAAGATCACATTGAGACTGGAACCGTGTAGGTACACAAATAGTGTTGAAAGTATCGAAAAGTATAGAAAGATTTGGCACGAATGGCAAAGCATTTACCTCTTGACACATACACACACGTGCACAAATCATACTTAATCTGAATGTTTAAAACACTTTCGAGCCTTACAAATGACCAAACAAAAGTGATTTTATATGGAGACCACCTTGCCTTCTTCAATTACTTTTTACCTTTAATTGTCAAACGTGCAAGAGTGCTTGTAAATGATACTTCATGGTACGATTATACCTCGAGTTCCCCGTCGTACGATCCATGGCATGAATATAGTGTTCCTAAACGTGACAATTTTACAACGGAGTGGAAGCTTGAAACAACAAAAAGATGAGATTAGATTTGTGTGAAATGGGGACACCAGAAAAGTATTGAAACATTAAGGAATAAAATAGTAAAACAATAAACATTAACATTGGAAGAAGCGAGTTGACGCACATAAGCAAGACAGTAGACAAACTTTCCATCGAGACTGATGGAGCTCTCCAGCCTGTGAGACTCCACGCCAACCATGTGAACGGCACCGGAGTGGCTGCCGGTGGCGATGAAGCGCGAATCGGGTGAGAAGGCCACTGACCACGTCTCCGCCGGCTCGCCCTCGAACACGCTCACCTGACGGCACTGCTCAAGGTCCCAAAATATTATCTGCACCAAAAGAGGAAGGGTTTCAGATACTGATGAAAGCCCTATCATTTCATGATACCCTAATGACGTCTACTTTCAATTAGATAAAATTGGAGATGCGAATATTGCCTTATTATTGTAAAATGATGGCTGCTTTAACTGCATACTTAACCATACTCTGAAATACATTCATAGCACCTAAGATGTCGACCTCCAAGCTCGCCTATAAGCTGGTAGTAGACCTACTTCCAGACGGTTATGCTTTAGTCTTCAATGCTAGCTAGAGCGCTACATTGACAATCGAACCTGCTCGAAAAAAAAAGGACAATCCAGAAACCGTTGGCCTCGTACTCAGGTTCGGATCCACAGAAGAAAGGTTAGATACTTGTAAATTCACACCAGGGGTACAAACAAAACCGCATCAGCTTTTGACAACAATCTCGGCTCCAATTTTAAATAAATATTCAATAAAAGAGCGAGATGAGATTTGAGAAAGGTAAAATCACAAATCACAAAAAAGGCAGCCGGCTGGAAAGGTAGAAAAGCAACCCAAGATAAGCTCGCACCTTTGGCGTACGCAAACTTCGCTGCTGAAATAGTATTCAAGTGATCCATCTAATTTCAAACACTTCAGCCAAAAAATTCGGAGACAGTAGAGTTGAAAAAGCTAGAACATCTCCCATACTAAAGCCCCACCATTAGGATCTGAGGAGAAACGCGAGAGTCCAATGAGTGAAATTCAATTAGACTCCAGTGTAACACCCAAGGAATCGTTCATAACAAAGCCATCAAATCAGGGAGGCAAGAGGAGTGTAGACTTCGGACGTTTTCTGCAATGATCCAAAGCCCACAATCTAAAGGTGCTCTATTGACCCACCTCATTCGAATGGAAAGGCGGGTTGTTGATGTATGACAACCGCTACTCTTATCTCAGGTCATAGGTCAGCACATCAACTGTAAGGACAGGAAACGCCTAGGAGGAGTGTTTGCACACTATAAAATGACTAGGATCCCACCTTTGAATGCTTTTGGAGCGACAACTCTAAATTATTGTTGCAATTTATCATTTTTAGATTATTATGTCTCTTGACATCGTTGAGGGAAATTAGGCTATTACGCTGACTCCAGGGGTAAGAGAATACACGCTAAACGAACAACAATACAAATTTCACTGGTTGGATAAGGGGTCAAATTTTCATGGGAGGAGGACCTTTGCTGCGGATGGCTGTATATCACGAGAGGAGGGCTATCAAGACCGCACTGGTGTTGGAAAACCACCCCAAGCTCGGATACAGTGAAGAAAAACCATGTTTGAGAGATTTAAAAACCATAAAAGTTATTCACAGTATTTTGACAAAAAATTTTGAGCTTTTGTTTATTTCACTCTATTGTAGGAACGTAGGAAAAATAGGCCTAAGAGTTTGGCAGCAGTAAAATGGCAGCTAAATGGAAAGAAGGGATACAGAGTACTAGCAATGTGGGGCTTCCTAGTAACATGCCTCATCAAGTAGGTTTTTTTCGTCGAATCAAGTAATTTCGTGAATACCAATTAGAGTGAAAAATTCGTCCGTTGCAAAATGCTGCCCGAAGTTAAAGAGTGCCGCGCAAACAAACAATGCATTTCGCACAGCGAAGGCAACCAGTGAAACTAAAGATATCCACGACTTACATCAGACTTCATTTCACCTTGATGAAGAATTTTCGTATGGTGTCTTATCTTCCAAGTGTTTTTAATGCATCTAAATAGCCCGTGAGGACCTATTTAGAAAAGTGACAGCACTCAGAAAAAGACCACCACAAAGTGCTCATGCCAGCTTAGATAAATTCTCCCAGACTTCCTTTTTGTTAATTTATTGGCTAATTCTGGATTTGTGAATCATCTAAAATAATTTAGGCGCCATACCAACAATAACCGTTGCATTGCTCTTCGGACCCTAGTACATTAAGGACACAACATTGCATAGGGGAGTGCAGATGAAGCGCTGATTAATTTCAGGTAAATTGAAATTAGTCTGACTGTCGCATCTAAGTGCCCATCTTTGCTCAGAGGTTCTCTTCAACAACCTTGAGCAAACGGATACTATGCATACTGCAAAAAACCTCAGAGACGTCTCAACACGCAGCTAACAAATGAACATGTCACTTAAGGCTTAACCAAAGCAATTGCATCAAGGTTAAGTAGCTGCTTCGCTTTCTGACGTAAGCTCAATGAAGACGATATTACTTTAGACATTCCACTGGACAAATACGCTTCAGTACACATCGGAATACGTATTTCAAACCCTTTGGGAAGAGAAATTATCGTGCAGGTTCATTTAGCTGGGCAGCTAAAAAAGTAAATTGTAAATAGCATTTACTAAAATTTCACCAATAGATAGTCCTCAAGTGATCTATCTATCCTTAGTCATTTGAATAAGAGCAGTACGCTGCAAGTGCGTAATAAACCGGAGATCGTCCCTCGAGTGAAGTGGGGATAGAGGTGCCATTCCTTAATAGTAAACGCTTTAACACAATTTGGAGTGCAATATCGAATTTGTAGCACAAATATGATAATACGACCGTTGGAGTGGAATTAAACATTGAAGAACTTCAGGCAGACCAGCATCCTATTTTTCTCCATTACTGTGAAGCCTATCTGCACAGTTGAAAAGGGATACCGAGAATTCGAAAGAGCACTAGAGGAAACTAGAGGAGCTTAGGTGATTCTCTACGACTGTACGCACGATTTTGAGCGATTCAAAACGAAGACTTAACACCAGCCACTGATTAGTAGACCGCCCCGCCTACATCAGAGATTGATACGAGTTTAAATAACACCAGGCAGTTTTTGTGGTCTTGCGGAATTGTCAACGCATCAAAAAGACTTCAATCGTGTTTGCATATTAGCTCGCTTGATATTGATAGGAGACCTCCAAATAAATGCCACCCAAGTCGAACAGGCATTATACAATCGCGTAGCAATTGCCATATTTTGAATCTGGACAATGAGAAAGTATCAACTACCCAGAAAGAATGAAACTGGAGTTTGGTGCGCGTGTGCATACGCCACAGGAGACACAAACTGAAATTGGTCACCTTTGTAAAGTAGTAGTGGCATGGATTTTGGCGCCCTTCCAAAAACACCGATAATATTTTATACACAATGCATATACCATAAGCGGTACCATAAGTGGAGTCTACCTAGTTTTAATTTTGCGTGATCACAACAACTGACCCAAACTGTGCCCACCAGTGCAAAAATAACGCCTACTGACGGAAATATAAGTAAATTTAGTATAACAGTGAGGCTTGCCTGGTTGTCGAGACTACCAGAAGCAGCAAGGGTGCCTGCCTTGTTGATGTCGACTGAGACGATACCTAAGCGATGACCATCCAAGGAACCTAAAAGATTGAGTGCATTGCCATCCCTGAAAAGATAAAAAAGACGAGAAAATTTTGTTTGCTGTGTCGAATCACAAAACTTCAATCGTAAAGTACCAAGCACCTTGATCTAAATACGCATGTGAACTTCAGATGAAGAATTGTCGTATCGAACATGCTTTCGAATCCGTTTCATACGAAGGGAAAAAACAGATGTCTCTGAACACCGATTCTGAAAACTGCAAGAGACTTTGATAAACATCTTCAAGGTTGCCACACAGCTATGCATCATGCCTCAAAACACGACGATTAAAGATTGTTAAAAACAAATTTGGCTAAAAATGTGCTTTTTCAGAACCGATACCTTACAGACCTAACCCACAAGTCATTAAATCGTTAGTTAAGAGGAAATTTCCAGAATTCTACTTGCTCTTCTAATTAAGTTAAAAACAGGCATTTCTAGAACCGGATTTCCCTATGAAAGACAGATGAATGGCTATCGAAATCTCAAAACGACTTTTCGCAAACAAAAACGTTTTCAGCTGACATCTAGCAAAATAGAATTGTGCATTATGCAGGTCTAAAGTGACTAACCAATTCCATAGCTTGAGAGTGTTGTCCAAACAACCGGTAATTATTAGATCCTTTCCATCAGACTCGCGTTTACGCCAGGAACAACACCATATACCATCCCCATGGGCTACAGGTGAATAGAAATAAGGGTTACTTAAGAGAAAAGGCACCACCTTTGTGAACGAGGTTAGTAACTGCACGTAACAGTCTTAACGGGGTATGATAAACAGACCACATCCTGAATTAATGAGTGTGAGCTGCTCTACTTCAAAGACAGCTATCAATAGACATAAAACCGTTTTTACCTTTTTCCTGCTTGTATTTGAGGGAATACTGAAATAGAATGAAGGAAAACGCGTCAAATCTCACAGAGTAAAAAATTAGAAACCCCGGAAAAAAACAGTGTTGGATAATTGCTCTAATCTCCCTAATAATTTCTAAAGAACCACAGGAGATATTTACATAAACGTGAACAAGCAGCAGTTAACGTGATTTAGTGGAACCGATTTACGTAAACTAAATGCTACGATACCACCGCAATAGAAGGGGAATAATGTGTGCTTTCCCTGTACCTTTGCTAACAATGCCCAACTAGGGCATTAGAAGATCTGGAATATGCAAAACCAGCATACTAGTAATCATAATAAGTACTGAGAGACAATACGTAATGCAGTTAAGCGACCTGAAATTGACAACAAATTAGAAAACAAAAGTGCAGAAAATTCTAGCGAATAGGTGTGAGGCAGGCGAAAAACAATTTTATTAAACGATAATTTGGAATCAGAATGTAAAAGCGGTTCTAAAATTGCCTCTTTTGGGCAAAAAGAGAGGAGGGCTCGACAATACCAGTTCGAATAAATCGAAGTAGAGCGAAGCGACAGAGAAATAGCAAGGGAGGAACTATCGAGAATCGGCTAAAGGGGTAAAGCAGGCGAACTTTTTTGCTTTCTGAGACCAAAGCGGATGGATCAGACGCTTCAGTATCAAACGTTGCATTTGATAAACAGTAGGCCCCCGACTCAGAATGTGACATTGCGTTTTTTAGCAAAGCTTGGATTGACTCAAAGGCCTCACCCTGGAAAAAAACGTGCGTAAGACAGTCGCATTACCAGTCAAAGTGTAAAGAGGAAATGTAATAACAGAAGGGGGAAACGTAACCCGAATCAAAGGAACAATACGCTAGTTGTGGTAACTAAATAAAGTAACAAGTCGAAAAATACGCATAGAGAGAATTGCTGAAAAATACCTGAATAAATCCAAATTTATTACCAGTTTGGGTAATCCGATTGTTAAGGATAACTTCGCTGGAGAAACGGAATGTGAGCGTAAATCTCGAATTGTCGTTTTCACTGTCACGAACGATGAAAGATCCATCTGGTGCAAAATGCAACAGTGCATCAGCTTCAACACGAGTAAGTGGACCCCAAAACCATGGTTGACTACAAAGATTGTAGAAATGATCCAACTCTTTGTCTCGTAGACATGAATACTGCGAGAGGACTTTGACTAGCCCTAAGAAAACTGAAGGAACACCGCAAATATACTTTCTAGACGTTTCTCATAGGCTTTTAAATTTGACGCATTGATTTCAACGCTGGAGCCAGCACTTGAAAGAGACTCGGAACAGGTGTCGTTAGTAGGGGAAACAATACAGTTTTTAAACAGGCTTTTTAGCCTAAAAAGGGGCGATTTCGCCATTGCCGTTATTCGTGAAGACACGAAAGAGGTTGCGTAAGAAAAAAAGACACTTCCCGGATTGGTACAAGCATGGTAAATTGCATCACACTGACTCCACACATATGGCAATTGTTCAAGAAAGCCCGGGTGACAGGATAAACTCAAACACATTGAAATTTTTGTGAAACAGACCGATGTGACATCACGCCCTAATTTTTTATAAAATTTATTTTTAGGTAACTTTATAAACCACACCAGGGGCGAAAATATATATCAAAAAACAGATTTGCCATACAACGGCAGGGTAAGTAATACGCTCTTGCCACATTTATATTTTTTTGCTTTTACAACAAGTTGAGCTACAAATGTTTAAAGTCAATTTATTGCACTAATGGCTGCGCTATTTTCAAAATGATCAAGCTACTACCGCTAACCAATTACAGTTCAGATTACTTCACTGTCACGCGTTTATAGTGTGTGATATGCGTATTTCTTAACTCATCTTAGTGCTACCACCTGTTTCGGCCCCATTTTCTGCATCTTCATTACGACATTTAATTAGCGCTAAATCATGTGATAGTGCAGAGATCCACATAGTCAAAAATGGCCTGCGAAACCGTGCAGAGGCCTTGACTTTTTGTTCCACTTATGGGAAGTTTTCATTTGTGGTCGGGCTTATTTTTTATCACTTATCCTCCCAATAATGCCCTACTTCTGTCCTGCTTTAGCATTCATAGTTTTTTTCTTGTAATGCTTGCTCAAAGGTGACTCGTTTACAAGTGTTAAATTAGTTTGTTCACCCGTCAATCATTAATCCGGCTAATTTTATTTGAGATTCAGTTATTGTTGATGTGCATATTCTTTCGAGTTCCTGCCTGGCTATAGATGGTTTTTTAAATTGCGCACCTTGCCAAAACCTATTCATTGGCTTACCTAGCCTAGATTCGTATGCGAGGTCTACAATTTCATGCTTTACTAATCTCTTTCGCAGATTTTGTAAGTCTTTTAAATGGCCTCAATTCTCCCCAGAAAAATCGAAGAATTTGGAAGTCCAAATTACTGGAACAATTTTTTCGCTAAACGCAGTGCTCCTTTCGAATGGTTAGTACCAAGGCAGATTTTTATCTCTGAAGGTATGGTGATTTCGCCACACTTGTTGAAATCCTCGCTCAAAACATTAAAAAGTCCGACTCTGTGTTAGAGGTCGGATGTGGTAACTCTGTCCTCTCTGCCGATATATATGACAAAGTCGGCTGCGCCACATATCTTGGTATAGATAACAGGTATGAGTTTCTTTTTAATGACCCAGTTCTCAAGCCAAAAAGCTATTGAACAATCCCAAAAACTTGTCACCTCTTCTCGGCCTGGCCTGAGGTTTGAATTGGTGGATGTTTTCAACCTCAACTCCGAATTGGATCGGCTCGAGCTTACCACTAGGAGTTTCAACTGTGTCGTCGATAAAGGCACATTTGACGCCGTTGACAACGGACAAGCGAATTTTAACTTCAACCTCTACTTTGATGAAATCGCTTCTGCTCTCTCCCTCTTCGGTCGGTACATTTTAATCACTCTGGCTCAAGACCATATCGTGAAACATATTGCCGACTACTTTCTAGATAAGTAAGATTAATTTGGTTTTCGTTTATCAATCACAAACTTATTACCTCTGTGTGCTGCTCTTCGAACCCGTCTTTTAAACCACTGTTGGTTCTCGACCGCCTTCTTTCTTTAGAGGCAGTCAGTGGATTGTGAGTTGCTATCAAATGACCAATCCTGAACAGCGGGTCGCTGATTCTGTTTCCCTTCCGCTATTCACCTTTGTCATGACGAAAATGAAGCCCGCTCCTGTTCTACCGCAACTTCGAGTGAAAGCTTTCAGTGACGATCAGCCTTGCCGTCCGATTCAGGAAGATGTGAAACGGCGCCTTGCAGATTGGATCAAATATCTTCAAACTTCATGCATACTGAGCCAAAGCCAGATTAAGTAAGTGGCTTTAAAGATGTGACGCATGAGTACTAGATTAATTTAACCAGTAAATTTATTATAATTATTTGTTTGACCCTGGGGTGTTTTCTAGGCCTCCTCATGTTTTCAATAGGTTATATTTATTCGATTTAGAGTTAATCCACAAAGCTCCGCTGCGTAGTTTATTAGTCATTGAGCTAAAGGCTATAAACATCAATCGAACGTCCTTATTGTGCTCTCACTTTGCAGCTTGACTTTTTAACTCAAATATTTTCACATTATTGTCGATCAGCTTGATTTAAGATCTTATAGCTTCAAGTGGCCTTATTTCCACATAAAGTTTATTCTCTGCTTTGCCTGCAGGTCGAAAGGCGGCCGGGAATTTGAGATCGTCCACGCCAAAAGTGGACTTCCTATGTTTGCGTGCAGACTGGTGGTTACGGACAAGGCGGGAGACTCCACATCTGGTGCGAACCACCACCCTAAGGCTGTGTTTCTGGTACCCCAGGCAGATGCAGAGGATTACGCCCCAGCCGAAGCGGCGCAACGACTGCTGGAGAGCATGGGTTGCCTCACTTGTGCCCTTCTGGCCTTCCCTCATCCTACCCTCCGCTTCGCCTCCCTTGAAGTGGCCAAATCCTCCCTCTCTGATGGCCTCGTTGCTTCGCCTCTCGCCACTACTGTTCGTAACGTATGTCTGCGCCCACTCTATCACCTCTTAGATGTTTTGGCAGAGGTGTCATTTTTTCAGCTGCTTTGTCAAGTTTGAGCACTACCTTCACTTGAGTTAAAATTTCAAAGTTCACTTACTATTCCATGTTTACTTTAAGGAGGAAAGGGTATCCCGCTTTTCCAAAACATTGTTCCCTTAGGGTTAAAAACTAGTAATTTCTGGTGCCTACGCTTCTCAATTCATCTGTTCTTTATTGATATTCTAACTTTATCCAAGATACCCATTCTCGATCGGGTTGGTGCATAAACAGCGGTTTTTTAATAGGCGGGCTTGGTTTGCTCGAAGTCAAGACTTGTGATCCTTATTTTACACCTACATGCTCCTCGCCTCTTTCTAAAAACCAAATTGTAGATTGTAGCACGTCTGCTTTTTCAGTTTGCATGTAGATGGGATGAATTCCTTGTCTTTTTCCTAATAGGTCCACCGGGTTCGCTTGAGTTCAAAGCTAATGCTTTCATATCGATAAGTTCATACTCATTGCTTTCTCTTTTAATCATGTAGCAAAGCTCATAATTTTCCCACTTTTTTGGGGTTTAGTTTAGATATGGTCACTTATAGGCCCTCTTCCAGTAAATGCACAGAGTTTGTTTGAGGTTAGAAGTGGTGAATGCCGATGTGCAGACCCACATCCGTCGTCTCTTCTCATGGATCCTTCGGCGACGTTTTACATTTGTATTCATTGGCAATTTTTGTTTGGAATTGCAAGATTAGTTGGCAGTTTTGCAATTTGTGGACAGGTTTGATGAATCTCAAAACCGGCAGTTTTCGATCCGTACGCCCACGTTCACGATGACGTTCAAATTTTACTGTTCTGGTTTTAATTCAAGGGGTAGAACCAGTTGACTTTTTCCCACCAGGTTTATTTGGATTAAAGGCTGGTAATGCTGAATTAATATCAGTGTTATTCAAAGTGAACTGAAACGTTTAGAGGGATATATTTCGAGTAGTGAAACCAGTTTACTTTTCGACGAGATTCCATCCTTCATTTCTGCTTGTATTCTAGTATTTGAGCAATACCTAACCTTGAAACCCTCGAGACAAAGAACCTCGCTGGTAAGGCTCGGCCCTCCTGGATTTCCAACATGTATTAACTCGTCGTCGAATATGTACATCATTCATCTTTCTGCCCAATTCAACGACGGGTTGTACTTAAAGTGTACGGGGTCAGGTGTTTTATGTGCTGCCTGAATAGTCACGGGAACAATCACTGTGCCGTAGTGGTGGTCAGAGGGCCATCACGGCCAGATGTACGATCGCCCGTCTTTGAGGCCTTAACTCAGTTCAGACGCCTTATTAAACGGTTGTGCTTGAGATCTTCCGTACAGGTAGGTATTTTCGGATTTAAGTTTCACGCCTACTTTGACAGGAAATTTGGGTTGTTGCCATACGCTGCTGCATGGACGGGCACTTACTATTACTGTTGTCTGCTCTCTTGATTAAGGGTGTCTGTATTAGCTCCTAACAGGTGGTGGAAGGCTGTATTGGCCACTTCTGCGTTCTATACCACCACGATAGCGTCATTTTTTGGGTCTGTCACACTTGTGTTACTGTCTTTGTATCCGCCCTTCAGCGGAGTTCTAAGATCACCTTTATTTGGATCGGAAGACCAACTCATGTTCTCCGGATAGGTGGTCGACGGCAGTGACAGTAATTTGCATAGGTTTTGCTCTATCTTGTCGGTAAATCTCAAAATTTTTCCGCGAAACTCTCTGGTTTACTTCCGTTGGAGTTCAAAATTATGCATATTCGCTCCATAGAGCCATCCTCGCCGACTTTTCACGTCAGTTCCTTAGCGGAGCTTTAGCTCCGTCTTGCTGCCTGGGTGTATTATAATATGCAAAAATTTTGATCTGTTTATTTTTTTCCTATTGAAGTGATCTTCAATCCCAACTAATTTTGGTGGCGATTTATCTAACAATCATTAGTTGTATTCTAGCAGAGATCGAAAGAAAGAGAATCCCATCCAAATAAACAGGAGGCCTACCTTCTATTTTAACACTGGCATACTGTACATAAGTTTTCCCTTTAAAACTTGTCTTAAAAGTATAGCCTAACTTATAATCTTTCAGCCCTAAGTTTTATGCAAATGCTTTAATCATAGCCGTTCTCGTGGGCATGGTAGTGTTGGATGCTTGCAACACCTCATCTTTGATACCTCCTGCCTTTCGAGCCAACTAGCTTCCCTGAAGCATCACTGCTTCTACTCAATTTACGAAGTCTGATTTTTACCTTGGTCGCATTATAAGACGAACAGATAGGAGCATATCATTGCCTCAGTTCCCGGTACACCACGTTCGCGTTTTCCAGTAGGGAGTTACCTTTTCACTTCGTACAAAGCAACATTTTTCACGACCGATATTGAAGCTCTTGCTAATTCAACGCCCTCATTTGTCTCCAAAGACGGGTTGATCCATCGGCGTTTGGAAGTATCTTTATTATGGACGAATGGAGGAGTTGAGAGAGCACTAGTAAACCTCTGTCAACAGCACCGAATGAATCGCGAGAGAATGAAAGTGTCTGGGTATTAACTCACAGTTTAGACAATTGCCATTCGCCTTCACTAAACTATAAGCAGGCTCACCTATTCGCATGCTATGCTTGGTTACTAACTGCTCCACCCACAATACACTATTAACCTTCCTTTTTCGGTTGTCCGTGCAGATATTAGAGATAATTTGTTTGGTATGCCTAGCTGCCCATCTACAGCACTACGGATGGTTATTCCAAGATGCACGTTATGAAGGAGCTCAATCCCTACGCGGTAATCACAGAGGCTGCCAAAAAGCGGAGACCACAGAACCGCCTCTTGGTGCAATGCCTTGATGCTGACATCTATCGTTTCATCAGTGACGAGGTCTTCTCAGAGCCATCATCTATTCTTTTACTTGTCTGGATCAGCGTCACTCGTCGATTGGCTGATAGTCTGGGCCAGGGTGACGCCAAACATGTCTATTATGGGGTACCGCCTTGCTTCCACAAAGCTATTATGGAGTCCCTACACGTAAATATTCAGGCAGATGACCTGAAAGCCTTCATTCAGGAGCTCTATTGCGATGTTCACCATCAAGTTGACTCGGTTGAAGGTATCCTATTTTCTTTTTATTCGATTGGTAATGACTCATTTCCAGGGTGTGCGTTCATGTGCTACGATCCACTTGATGACTCATCGGAAGAACGCCTGTTAGAATTTTTTCAAGTGGCTGAAAAATCCCTCACTCCCCAAGGTACGCAGTTTCTTTTACTGTTGGAACATTTCTTCAGGCATATGCTGCATTCTTTCCCGATCAACTGCCATCAACAACACACCGTCTCTTGATCGTGTAAGCCAAATAGAGCAGGTCTGTGGGCCTTCACTCCAGGTGCTTCTCAAGCAAGACTGTGGTGCCGCTAGCATTTATGTGATTTATAAAAAGAAGCATAAAGTTTCGAAATCGAAATTCGCGGCTCGACTTCGTCACATTGCTGTGGACGCTTCAACAATGGGAAGTGCCATATCTCTCATTATTAATTCACAAAGTGTCAGCGATGATGTGATCAAAAGAACAAATGCGTGTTTTACTGATTTGAAGAAAATATTGGAGACAATAAAGTGATTTTGTGAAACGTTCTTGATTGATTCATGGTAGGGTTCGGTTTCGATCGACCTAAGTAACATCTCAGAAGTGGTTTGAAGATGCTACTGCGCTCTGTGTAGAGAGGTGGAACGTAAAAAGGCTGTCAGGAACAGATAATTGACCACAGAGAACGGGTTAGTATTTGCGATGTGCATCAAGTGAACCCTATTCCGTCATCTCGGGCATCCGACGGAGTCGTAATAAAATGACATGGTATGGAAGAAGGCATTGACAATACATAGCAAGACTGGGAGGCTGGCACCATACCTCGAAGTCCACCCAGTAGAGTGAATATACAATGTGGGAGGATTGAAGTGCTGGGCAGTTAAACGCAAAAATAAACGCGTCCAAATGCTTCATTATCTCTAGACCAAGCAGCTGGATCTTTTTGTAGCGCACAGCATTATGAAACAGCAAAAAAGAACAAGCCAACGATGCTTTCCTACTTTAACGTTTATTGGTTCATTTAAGACTTCTCCCCAGAATCTACTTGGCCATGTATGCTAAAGGCTAGTCATGATTAACTCTGCAGAATATCAGTTTTGTTGCAGTTCTTTGAAGTTAAGAGCATGCACACCAAAGAAAAATCGTTTTTTTGGAGGTGAGGTTCACAAATAAGATAAAACACCATTTTTGTGATTACCACGACCTCTATCTTGTTTATTTGTTAAAATACATCCAATGAAGTGTAGACACATAGACTTGCACTGGATTGGTTGAAGTATCCAATATTGTGTTCACAAATAATGCATAAGCCTTTTCGTTCGGTGCATCCGCTTAGTCTTCTGCGGTTTACCGTCTTTGTGTGTACGTACTTTTTCTTGCAATAATATCTTAGTCTATTGTTTTGTTTCAGAGGGTCGGCAGACAGTAGAATCATTGCTTTCACAAGGCACAATTTCCCTAGCAAATGGGAAGTTAAAACAGGCTCTCGACCTTTATTCGGAGGCTGTGGAGGCTGACCCACATAATTATATGGCTCATTATAGAAGAGCGACCGCCTATATTGCCATGGGAAAGCTGAGATCTGCTTTGCCCGATATCGACAAAACGGTCTCACTTAATCCCGGCTACGTTCTGGTAGTGTGCATTTTATGAGTAATTTCCCTATAGGCTTACAAACAGAGAGCAAAAATCAACCTTAAACTCGGTAATCTGAAAGATGCTCGGACGGACTTATTAATACTGGTGTGTTGGTTATTTGAAATGTTATTAATGAAATCATAGAAATCCACCGATGAAGATACACAAAAGCTTCTGAACGATATTAGTGATATGGAGGCGAATATAGAGCATGCGAAGTCCTTGTATTCAATGGGACGCCACTCCGAGGCACTCCCTTTATTGAACTACGTAATGAATACCATCACATCCAATAGTGAGCTTCATGAGATGCGCGCTTTGTGTAATATCAAAACTGGTGATCACATCAAGGTTTGTTTTTGAAAATTTTATCGCATAAAAATGCTTAGGGCATTGAGGAACTTCGTGAGAGCGTTCACATGGTTAGTGATAATCGCGAGGGAATGCTTCGAGTGTCTGTACTCATGTACGACGCCGGTCTTGCGGCTAGATCTCTTGAGGAGATCCGCAACTGCCTTCGACTTGACCCCGATGACAAGGGTTGTCGTGCTCACTATGCAAAAGTTAGAGTGTTGGCAAAGGCTATTGAAGATGCGCAAAACAACGCTGAATCGGAAAAGTGGAATAAGTGTCTGCCACGAGCTCGACGCATTTTGGAACTTGAAGGTGGCAATCCGGAGTACGTGCTGCAAGGCAAAGTACTTGTTTGTCGCTGTGGTGCAAGGGTGTGTGGCATTTTCCTGATATTAGGAGCTCAACCCTCCAGTTCTTCAGTTTAAAAAGGTTCTGCTTTTCAGGCTGATCCAGAAAATTCATTGGAAGCCTGTGACTACGTTATCTCTCGGATGTCAAAATCCGTCGATCCACACTTGGATAAAGCTGAAGCCTATATCAATCTCAACAAGTACGATGAAGGTAATGCTTTTTGTTTTGTTTTCATGACATCGTTTGCTCTCGAAAACATGTTTCTTACCTGGAAGTTATATCAACGCCCCTATGATTGTTTTATATCGGCATATTTTTTGACGTTTTCTGCTTTACCTTTTAGTCGCGAGATTACGGCAATTTATTGATGCACATTGGCGAATATCAGTCCATTAATGAGTTTAAAAGATTGTTAACATTCGAGTTCCTCCATGAAAGCGTTAGCAAAAAATATTTCTCTACTGGGATATCATTAATGTTCTCCCACATGCAAACATAATCAAGGGTGCTTTTGAGCGGATGTTTTTGGATTCATGAGAATTCTCATTTGTTTAACTGTTGCTTATAGCGGAAGCGGAGTATAAAGAAGTTTTGAAACTGGAGCAGGACAACCAACAAGCTTTGAAGGGTCTGAAAAACGCGAAAAATCTCAGATCTTCGGGCAATAGGCGAGACTACTACAAGATTTTAGGTGTAAAGCGGACGGCCAGTGACAAGGAGATAAGTCAGGCGTATCGAGAACTTGCCGGCAAAAACCATCCAGATCGGTTCCCCGACGAGGAGCAGAAAAAGGCTGCTGAGAAACGCTTCCTTGATATCAACGACGCTCGTGAAGTTTTACTGGATAAGAGTAAGTAGTACTTCAAGCTGGCTTTATGACTTGCGGGATCGCCTAACGCCGCCCTTCTCGTCCACGCCACTTGTTTACTTCAAGATGGCGAGCATCCAGAGATTTTGAGTAGAATGAGTGGGTGCAACTTCTAAGCCAATATTGCGCACTCTTGTAGAAATGCGGGCCCAATTCGATAGTGGCATCGATCCCAAAGACCCCGAGGCCCAAGCTCGCAGTTCCTTTCAGACTGGGGAGGGCTTTGGCCACGGACACCAATTTTTCACAAGCTCAGGGCCTTTTGGATTTAACTTCCACAATTTTGATCCCTTCGGTGCCGGTGGTGGGCATTTTGAGTTCCACTTTGGCTAATTCCCTTAGCCAGTTGTTCTGCCAAGTCTTTCCCTCTGATTTCCCTTCTGTAAAATATGCGATTTTTTCCCATTGGGTTTGTACATAACAGAGCATGTTGCCATTATGCTTTTTAAAAAGAAATGCTCTAATCTATTATATTCTGCTTGAAGACCGATCAGTCTGAGTTCCGTGGCTTTTATTGACTTTTGTGTATTATTAATCTAACGGCAACTCAACTCTATGTAGTTGTCAGCTTGCGTTGCGTCTTGAAATGCTACGTACGTGTGATTGATGGGCTATCAGTCGGCTGCGACAGCCTTATGTAGAACTGGATGGAGCGTCTTTTTTATTGGAATTTATGGTAATCGGATTACGTCGCATTCCCTCACTCGGGTGGAGGGTGCTAAATCCTTTCTCCCCGAGGGGTTCCAGCTCTATGGTTAATGCCTGGTGATTTATTAGTTGCTAGTTTAATTCAGCAGACATCCAACCAGTCGCCTCGCCCCCCACTTTAGTCCTCCGTTGTTTCTTTTGTCGCCCTTTATAATAGCCAGCCTCTCGTTCACCAACTGAACATATCATCTCTGCTTTTAATTCACATCTGGACAGAAAACTGCGAGCGGACACCTTTCAATGCTGCATTTCGCTACAAATAGTGGCGCTCTGTCTCAACACTGGAAGCGGGGGCAAACAGGTCGTCAACCAATGAATGCATGGTCTGTAGATCTGTCGGGCGCTACCCTAGCTTTTGTCTATTTGAATAATCCCTTAATGGCTTTGCACTGGAACTAGAAAATGAAGTGTTTTTACTTAACCAACAGGCACATCTTTCGACAGAAAACACAAAAGAGGGATTCGAGGGCCGCCATTCTGGCGCGTGGGCTGGGACACCAAAGAAGAATTCCTATTTGGATCCCATTAAGGCCTCTCTACTAGGACAAACACAAAACTTGATCCAACCTTAATTAGATAGCGAGATATCTTGCATATCGATAAAGAGGATAATGTTTACACCCGGCCATTGGTAGCTTTAGCTCCACCCCATTGATTAAGATCCGGGGCGTGATAGTCATTAAACCTTCCATCCAAGAGTGTATCTAGCCACAATTATGAAGAGGTTCTTTCAAGCTTCAAACCTAGCCATTGACAAATTGCACACCATAGAGGCTATTACAGTTCCAAACGACGATTTCCTGCGTGCCACTAGTACCTTTCCAAAATAAAAGGGACAGCCCTCGAGACCAAATCTCATCACAATTAGTTGCTTATTTAGCTAACTGACAAGGTAGGTTTGACTTCGGGACCAGGGAGAGAGGAAAGGGTATTTAAAAAAGGCGCTAAGGTACTCTCGCTGTAGCTGCAGCAGAATTGAGAGCGAGTTGGCGGTGGTGAGATGGGGAGAGAGAAAGGGGGAGGAAGAGACAAGTGTGGGTGCCTTGAGGGGAGGAGTGAAAGAGGGCAAGTCATTGGTGATCAAGAATGGTAGAGACAAATTGGGCCATGAGGGGTGCATCGCGTTCCACGCAGACACTGCGAAGGAAGGGCGAGTCGAGGAGACGCAGGTAGTTGGCGCGAGCGGATTCCTCCTTCACTAGACACTGCGACACAATGTCTCGAAAGTCTTGCGAGTAGGGCACCGATTCCGGCACATTTGGCGGTGCCTCGTGAACCACCTACAATCGTATTATCCATTACCTTTATTCACCGAAGTCCTCACACAGTCCCCATATAAAAATGAGGTATGATGCAGCACTTGAGGATGCGTCAGAGTTGTGAAAACAAGTTTTCATTGTTACGGTTTCATAACGACTTTGCATTCGTGGTCCTTCCAATCTGTCGCAACTCGACCTCCACGTTGAAGACTATTAGCTTGTCAGTTTTACTAAAACCACCAACTCATTCGTTGTTCGATTACAGGTAAATATGATACTGGAAAAATTTTCTAATTTGTACAAAAACGTTTTCTGGAGAAATTTATGATGCGCAGAACAAAAGCATGGAAATCAAGACTACTCCTGGAATACAAGTACACCGCATAAACTTCAGTGCAGTGGATGATATCGTACGAAAGCAAAATGACGCCCCAAACTAGGATTCTGACACAGAACTGTAGCAGTCTCGTGATTCGGTGATTGGGATCTCTGACACGTCTCGCAGCTCTTCCCCACGCCTTAAAGGGAGCTCATTCAAAAGCAAGAATAGCGTCGAGATTGAAGACCAATGATCCAGATGATTGAGCCTGCAACAACTCACTATGGAAGGGACAGCAAAATCACGTCAAAGTTTGACAACTATTCCGAATTTTTGGTTCTGAAAAATGATCAGTAATGGTCCGGGAGGAGTTAAACCTGAGGAAATTGTTTTACAATTGAGGGGAAAACGGCCAAGTATAGTCATGATTTAAAAATTTTAAACCTTCCCGTGTTTTACGTTAAAAATTGTTTCAATAGGCGGCTAGCCAGTGTTAAAATGGGAACAAAGGAGATGACACGGATGTAGCTATGCCATAGCCTTCAGGCATTACTTTATGATTATGTATTTGTTATCATTGATTTTACATTTAGACAAACGATCTTTAAAAGAATAATCGTGCAAAATAGCGCACAGCTCCATGTAACATCCCGTAAATAGGAGGCGCTACCTAGACTCTTTGAAATTTATGAGATGCACCAATGCGGTTGAATTCAGGAATTAAAAGATGTACGCTGCCAGACGGACCTTTCAATCTTCCGCGGCTCGAAGACATGAATCTCCTTTACAAATCTCAGCACTAAGAAAATTCAAATTACGAATTCCACCATTGAGAGTTTTGAGACAGTCAGCTACCACAGAGAATGACAGTAGAAGCATGTCATGCTGATTCATGTTGTCATCGCACAACATGCTACAGTCGTCAAACATACTAGATCCAGATCTATGGCTCTTTTGCTTTATAGTGACCAAGAGTGACTCCATAGTTACAGGAATGCACTTGTAGGAAAGGTCATAGTAAAAGTGTCACTTCTACTTAGTCTGGGCGATTTGTCGTAGCGCCCATTCACAGGCAATTAGTAGAAGGGAGAATGTGACACCACACATGACAACAAGCAGTCACGCAGTCATAGCAGCAAACACGACAGATAATAACAAGTTACTTCCAGAAGAGCATAAATATCGTTCCATTTTTGCAACGAAAATATGGGAATTTGATATAGGCTTGAAGTGTTTCAGGGACCAGAACCGATTCACAAGGCAATCTACTTTAGCTGTTTCATAAAACCTTTAGAAGCGTCTCATAAGAAGGCATGGAAAGGAAAGGTGGAGTAAAAGTGGAGTAAAAAAAGGATTCTTTGCAGCTTCGGGAATGCATGGGCTGTTACTCTTCAAGAGAGACCTACAATTTGTGTAACCTATAGACGTCCATCTGTGAGTTTGGAAATATTTTCGCACCATTAATTGGGAGCAAACTTGAATATATTATTTAGCTATGGAATCCAAACGGCCACCAAAGCAGTAAAAACATGTGACGAAATTAAGCAGGCTAGCCTTTCCATTCCTTGAATTTTAGTGTTCGCTTTTTTCAGTAACTCAAAAGTTTCGGTTTGGTTTGAAAATCTTGCGCACATTAGAGCATTACACCCTATAAAGTAGGAACGTGAACATTCATCACCGATGGTGCAGTTGGCCACTTCATTTTCTTCACAAGACAAAATCACCAAACAGGTGCTGAACGTCATGAATTACAGAAGTCCAGTTCTCGGTGAAACACGCTTTCATGACTGCGGATACTCTCCAAAACAGACAGGACATATATTAGGTAAGCATGCTTAGTGACTTAATGTCAGCATCCATCTGATTCCCCCAACCTTTGAGATCCTAAGCCAAGTAACGCGGTGCAGTGAAATGGCCAATAAAGAATTTATAAGACGTGGGATAATGGATAAAGGTTAGAGGCATGAATGGAATAACCAGGAGCACAGAAAATTAGCGAAAATTATACGACGGTAGACCAAATGTTTACATTATTTCACGCATAAATGAGGATAAACTAAATTCAAATCGGCAATGTTAGGTACATGGTCAACTTCTAAGGGAAAACAGATTAACTGAGGAACGCAATCAACACAGGATTTGCTTCCCTTGTACATTTCAGTCTTTAGATAAAAAGGTAGTACCTAAGGCTATGATCTTACATTACAGTAGCCCTACAGGACTAATATCGCCTACAAAACGGCCACAGACACATGTATTTTCTAAAGTTACACAGACTAAACCCTCCAATCCCGTACTTATACGAAACCGTGACAAAAGTTAAATCGAAATATCTAAACGTTTACGGATTATTAGGAGAGGGAAGTATATTTTCGGGTATAATATATGAAAACCATTTTAAGAATTTATAAAGGAATCGTATTTAATTCCCGGTGTTCTAAAAAGACTAGGGAAACTTGAATTAACCTTAAGACATTACCACTACGCCAATAAAAGTCACGTTTCCGCTTCTATGCAATTTCATCAAGAACAATACCAAACGAACTCGACAACTAAACATTACTGTAGTGTGGTTATTGTTTGTGTCAATGTGCATAATACTATGCAGCAACTTGGCCACAATATCGCCTATGCTTCGAGTAGTCAGATATGTCCTCCACCATGATAAAAAAGCTAGTTGTGGATACCCAAGTCATAAACATCCCCAAGAGGTGACTCAGGCAGTACGATTTGATTCACTCTACCTCGTTTATCGTATTCAATCCTTCCTGGGGAACATTAAGCTGATGCGTCAGGAGAAAGTTACATCACAATGAACCAACCAGCTAGTGTGTAAGGGGCTTGAAACTATGGAGACCCACAACAAAAGAATGGTGTGAGACCGATTAACATGATGGCCACCCATGTCGGAGTTGTTCATATGCGAAAACTATCACAATGACGAGCAAATAAAACTCCAAGAAACGGGGGCTCCCTACACTGTAGA